GGTACTAGGGATCGAACTCGGGACCTTGTGCTTGCGAGGCAGTTGGCAGAACCACTGAGCTAAATCCCCGGCCCCAGTTGTCAATTTTTAAAAAAATACAATTTAAAACAGGCAAAAGACCGGAATGGGCACTATCGAAATAGGAAATCCAAACAACCGATAACTATACCAATTTCAATAGTAATCAGTAAAATACTAATTGAAACCAACATGAGATATCATGATGTAACCAACAGTTCACAAAAAATTGAAAGTCTGATGATATCAAGGGTTGATGAGGAGCAAAGGAACTCTTCTTACACTATTGGTGCCTCTACAGACTGGAACCACTACTTAAAAAGACAGTTTGACATAATCAAATAAAGGCGAAGCTCCACATAGTCTAGTTCCCTAAATCTGAGTATATACCCTACACAATTGGATGTATTCATAGTGACAAAATGGACAGATAACAGTATGTTCATAACAGATATAAATAGGAAATGTCAAATCAATGTATGATGGACATTGTCACATTCACCCAATGGAATAATATATAGCAATGGCAAGCTGATTAAGAATAAATATACAATATTTGATCCTCTAGTTTATATAATGTTCAAAAATAGGCAAAAGTATACTACTCTATTGTTTAGGGTTACAGACCTTTGTGAGGAGAACAAAGGTTGTGATTTTTAAAAAGATACAAAGAGAGCTTCTAAGGTATCAGCAATGTATTCTTGACAGGGCTCATAGTTACAAGGCTGTTTTCTCTACATTTGTTAAATGGTGCTTATAACTTTTATCATTTTTCTTCATATATGATGTATTTCACAATAAATTTTTTTTTTGGTACTGAGGATCGAACTGAGGACCTTGAGCTTGCAAGGTAGGTGCAGTGCCACTGAGCTAAATCCCCGGCCCCATAATAAAATATTTTTAAAGAAATCTTTATTTATGGCATTAAATGTCATCTCTTCATTCTGTGCCATCCAACAAAAAAGTAGTTACATACATGTTGCTGCACCCATAAATAAGAACATAAATGTTGTCACTGGGTGTGGTGGTGCACCCCTGCAAGCCCAGCACTCAGGAGGCTGAGGCAGGAGGATTTCTGGGAGTTAAAGGCCAGTGTGGACTGCATAGTGAGTTCAAGGCCAGCCTGAACTATGTAGAGAGACCGTGTCTCAAAAAACAAAAAACACAAACAAACAAAAAAAGCAAACAAAAAATATATATGTTGTCAAAAAAGACTAAGGTGACATATACACACTAATGATGGAAAATAAAACAAGATGTGTAAGCAAATATAATTTATATTTTAAATGAATGGAAATTTTCAGAAAGGGAAAATAAAAACTGATCATGCATGTATTTTAAAATGTTTAATTAAAAATTGTTGGTAATGGTAACAGGAGTATAGAATTGCGTATTTGGGTGAGATGACTCATTTTTTTATTCTACTTTCTTTTGGGGGGGGTACCAGGTATCAAACTTGGGACCTTGTGCTCACCAGGCAGGCGGCAGAACCACTGAGTTAAATCCCTGGCACTATTCTAATTTATTTTGCTTGTATTTATTTAACTATGTGCTTTGAGTTTAAAAATCAACAAAATTAAAACAAACATTATTTCAAATATGATTGGCAAATAGATCAGGCCCTGCTAAATTCCTTGCAGGTCCAGAGCAAGTTTAATTTGAATTTGTTTCTACAACCAGCAGTACACAGATGGCACATGATAAATTCTCAATAAACAATAGTACTGCTAATTAATAAGTATGAAGTATTCTAGAGCTTTACATACATTGCTATTCCACTTTCATGATCATCCTGTGGAGTACTTGAATTGATGTCAGATTTTACAGATGTGGAAAGTGAGGCTTACAAAAGTTAGCTAACTTGTTCTAATACATACTGCTAGTAAGTGACAGAGGAAGTCTTTTTAAATCCAAAGGCTGTATTCTTAAACATGATTAAACTGGTTTCCTGGTATTTGAATGAATGAATGAATGAATGAATGTTTTTTTTTGTTTTTTTTTTGTTGAATGAATGAATGTTTAAATGAATGAACACATTTAAAACTGGCCTGCCCTTATTTGATTTTGGAATACCTGAGGGAATTCTTTCTGTAGGTTACTGCTCATATATTTTTGAGAGTCTGACTTGGAGTCCACAAGTTCCAATTTCCCCAAGGGTGTACTTCTTTCCACCAGTAAGTATTCAGTCTGTTCATTGGGGCCATTCACAGCTATTTTGGACAAGCCTTCTTCATACAACATTTCTTCAGATTCCTTTACTTGGGCTCCTGTTTGGAATAAGTAACAGAAACAAAAGTGCTAAAGAAAACACAGGCAAATAACTTGTTATAAGCAGTACTCAGGAGGCTGAGGCAGGAGGATTGTTGTGAGTTTGAGGCTAGCCTGGGCTACACAGAAAGTGCAGGGCCAGCGTGAACTATATAGTGAGAGCCTGTCTCAAAAACAAACACTTGCTGTAAGATGTACAGTGAGTTCTTAGATTTTTAAATTAATTTTTAAAATAAGCTACACTGATACTAACATTCATCTCTCCATCTCTCCAGAGTGTTTTGAAAACTTTGAGAAATAACAAAAAATAGTAAGAATAGGCTCTCAAAAGCAGCAGATATTCTTTCTGTTGCACAGCTTTAAAATTTTCATTTAATAAAAGGCAAAGGTATCCTTTTATGAAAATCTTTTTTTAATTAATTTTATTGGTACATTTTAGGTGTACAGTACAATGACATTCATCATTGGAAATTTGCACCTTTACATAATCTTTCTTGGTTCTTATTTTTATGAAAATCTTATTACGGGCTTAAATTTGAGTTTTTGTTCAACCCATATCTTTGTCATTTTATTGAGGACCTAATATGTGGTGGGTAGTATACTAAGGACTTACGATACATTTATCTCAATCCTTACTTTGGCTCAATAAAGATAGGAACCATTATTATCCCCACTTAAGGTGTGAAGATTGAAGCACCAAATATCCACATAACTTGTCCATGATCGTTCAACTAATCCTGCCAATAATTCTTAGTATTTTCAATATTTGGGTAGATAATTATTCCAGTCAGTACCCTGTCTTCTCAGTGTTTTCACCAACAAGTTCCAGCGATCTATTCTCTAACCTACCTCTCCCACCTATTCTAAAGGGATTCCCTAATCCTTTTATTACTAAAAACAGTATCCTCTCCCTCGTCCCAATTTCAAGCATCCTATTCTCTAATCATCTTTTCCTGTGTACTTCTAGCACCCTAGCTTGAGTAAGTTTTCCACTATACTGGGAACTATAATTCTCTGACCATAGACACTTTTTTTTGTTTGTTTTGAGACCAGGTCTTGCTAAGCAGTTCAGGTTGGCCTTGAGCTCACTATGGAGCCCACGCTGGCATTGAACTCATGGTGATTCTCCTGCCGCAGCCTCCCAAGTGCTGGGATCCCAGGTGTGTGCCACTGTGCCCAGCTAGACAATTTTCAAGGTTCCTTACTCTGCTCTTCTTCTCATTTACTCTTTCATCCAGCTTAGATCCTATGGTCCATCATTATAATTCCCCCTCAAAACATTCACAGCTCCCTTGCTCCTCTGCCCTTCCATTACACTGGCTTGGCAAAGCTCTAGCCTATTTAAATGCAACTCTCCATCTCTCCTGCACCTCACTCCAGCAGTCAAACACAGTTGGAGAAAACTGTACAAGCAGCACTATTTTGTATCACTTTAAATTTAGGTCTACTAATCCCAAGTGAACCCTTACTACTGCCCAGCAATCTACCTACATGTCCCTGGTCATTACTCTCACCTCTATAGACCTAGAACATTATTTCATCCCCCCTCTCTCACCTACTTCTCCATCCTCTAAAGATCTCCAAAGAGAACAACCACAAGCTCACCTTACCCAATCTCCCAGCTTCCGTATACTTTTCCCATTTGTAAAACTAATGAACTGTCCTTGCTCCTATGATGGGACCAAATCTTCACTCCCAGTGAACATTGGATCCCATTTCTTTTTATCCTAAAGACTACTTTCTTGGGCTGGAGATGTAACTCAGTGGAAGAATGTCTGCTTAGCATGCAGAAGGCTCTGGGTTCAATCCTCAAAATTGCAAACAAATAATGAAAAAATGACACTTGCAGCTGACTCCTCTATGTATTGCCTCAAACTTTCTTCCCAATTGAGCATTATAACTATTTTAGAGATACATTGTAATATCTTTCATCTAACAAAAACCATCTTCCTTCAACCTCACATCCCCCCTTCAGCTTCTGCCCCATTTCTTCATTTTCTTTATAGTGTTAACTTCAAGAAAAGATTAGCCATGCTTGTGGTTCCTTTTTCTCTCCTATTGCTGCTTTCCTGAATTCACTCCAATCAGGCTTTCACATCTAACATTCCACAGAAACAGCACTCGTTATGTCGTGGCTAGATCCAGTGGGTGGTTATAGGTCCTCATTCCACATATCTATCAAGGCATTTAACCCAGTTGTTCACATCCTTTTCTTAAAATACTTTATCCTTCTTCTTCCAGGATACCAGTTCTGAAGGTCTTCCTCCTGTCTTGCATGCCACTCTTTCTCAGACCCCTTCGCTGATTTCTCACCTTTACAATCAATAACTACAGGAACATCCCACAAACCCAGCCCTGGACCTTTTCTTCTCCCTATGTTTGCTCTCTGTATTATCTCCTGTAGTCCTAAAGCTTTATATCAGCTATATACTAATAACTCCCAAATTTATATCTCCACCTTGCTTGGCATTCCAGGAATATACACAATAGTTTGTTTGACATTTCACTCGGATGTCTAATATAACCTCAAATTACCCCTTCCCCCAGCTGCGCTTCCCACATCTACCTCTTCCATCTGACAGTTAGAAACTCCAATAGTCTAATTGCTCAGGTCAAGAAGCTTTCAATCATCAGTGACTTATCTCCTTTTCTCCCATCCAACATTGAGTACACTAACAAATTGTATTAACTCCACTTTCAGAATACGTCCTTTCATTAGGCATTTCTGCTGTGATAGACATGTGTTCCTAAAAAAAATCCCAAAATTGTACTTTGCAAAACTGCTCACTTATTGAAAAATAATAGGTTTATGAGGAAAGCTACTTAAAACTTTTATCACTGTATAACTAGAGTGTTGTAAAAACACTGACAATTCTAATAGTTATAATGGTATGTTTAAACACATTTCAAATTCTTAAAAAGTAAAGGAAGGTTGTAAAAAATATAGGACTTTGTCATTTTTTAAATTATGGTTGGGCCAGGGATTTAGCTCAGTGGCACCGCACCTGCCTTGCAACCTCAAGGTCCTGAGTTTGATCCCCGGTACCACAAAAAAAAAAAAATAGGGTTGATATAAAGGTGGGTTAAAGAAGGAGCTGAGATTGCAGAGTTAAGGAAACAAAGGCAAAATGCACAAAGATTGGGGATATCTGCACAATAAGCATTTCCAAAGCAAAACATGTGGCCAAACTGAACTCAAAGGAAAAAAGTGGGATGCATAAGATTTACAAAGTTATGTGCTGCATAATGATTCAGTCAGTGATAAATCACATACACAACAGTGGTCTCATAGGTTTTTTTTTTTTTTTTTTTATACCAGGGATCAAACTCAGGACTTTGTGCTTGTGAGGCAGGCGGCAGCACCACTGAGCTAAATCCCCGGCCCTCTCATAGATTTATATTACCTTGTGATGTTATAGCTGTCTTAAGTTTCTATAAGAACAATCTATAATGTTCACACAATGACAAAATCTCTCACAAATCATTTCTCAAAATGTATCCTATCATTAAGCAGCACACAGCTGCCTTGCTTGTAGCCCAAATCATTAACATGCTGAGAAAAGCTGTATGTGAACTCTCACATTATAATGACATCATTCTCTTGGTTATCAATCCCTTGTGAATTAATTTACATCCAAAAACAGGTTGGCAGCAGCACATACAGCATTCTCTGTTTCTTGCAATATGGCAGATTAGAGGCCTGGAAGAACCCTGCTGTAAGAATAACTAAAAATGCTGAAAGAAATTAAAGAAAACTCTTCAAATGTAACAATCATATGAATAAAAACAGAATGCAAACATTCAAATCAGCAGAATAAAACTCATACCCATGGAAATCAAGAAAGAAAAAAATGCAGAACATAATGAAATATATCCTATGACAACTTTCTGTACACCAGAGATTTGAAAGAAAATATTTTTTCCTCAATAGATCCTTGTAAAGGGAAGTCCTAAGAGAAAAATGATTCCAAATGGAATATCTGAGATGAAAGGAAAAATGCAGAATACACAAAATAGTGGATGTCTGGTAAATATAATACTGATAATAATAATATTATCTCTGTCCATCTAATTTGTGGAGTTAAAGAGACTAGTACAAAGGGCTCCTCTCTATATTTTTTCCTGTTGTTTTGTAGTACTTGATACATATTTTATGAGACCTAAATATGCTATCAAAGAAGGTAAAACTATACCACTTTGGTATATTGACTATTTTGAGTTAAAGGCACTTGAAAACATCAGATACAAGATCATTCTGACTAGAAGGACAGAAGGAATTCTATTTCTCAAAAGCAGAAGATAAAATTCCCATGTGAAAGATTCCCTCCTCACTAAGTTTCTAAACTGCCCAAGCTGGCCTTGAACTTGGAATCCTCTTGCTTGAGCCTCCCAGAGAGCAGGGATTACAGGTATGTAAACATTCTTTAGGAACATTCTTATCACTAAGGACAGGAAGTTATATTAAATAAATCTGTATGCTTTTCTTATGAATCTGACTTATATCAATTCCTGAGCCCACCAAATGACAAAAACCATTAAGAAAATAAAAATAAAAGAGAAGAGGTAAAGTTTTGCGTGCCTACACTAGGTACTTTACAAAGTAGATGCTATGGGGAAACTACTAAAACTAGGATGTGATCTCTGTTCCAGAAGGGCTGACAGGGTAACTATGTTACAGTGTGGTAAGTGCACAATAGACACTGAAAAAAATTAACACCTGCACCCTCTCACATGCACAATTCAGACTGTGTCAGAATATAGTAAGAAAATATACCTAAAACATAAGAAGTATTTTTCTTGGGATAAGTTATATAGTAATTTTCCCCCTTATTCTACTTCTATACATCTTCCAAATTTTCTTCAACTGTCAAGTATTAGTGTTTAGAATTGGAAAAAATAAAAGTTTATATTTTCACAAATAGAAAAATTACCGTTTGAGTTGGAGCTCTTTAAATTCACATCTAAGCTGTTCATGTTCCTTTTCATAACTATGAGAAATGGTTCTTTTCCTTCAGGTAAATTACATAGTTTGTGTAATCTTTCACCTAAAAAGAAAACAATGCATTTTCTTACTCTTAGTCCATGGCTTATATTTTAACTCTATTAAAAGTCCAGTCAGTGAAAGAGTCATTAGGAGATCGCCTTTCTATCATAACTACAATCTGAGAAATAAACAGAAAACCCAGGTTTCCTTAACTGTATCTTTCTCACTTTCTCCCCCGCCCAACTCCATTTCCTTTCAATTGTCTTATGTTATCACAGACACTGTTTCCCATAATATACCTAACTACAAATTTTTGAGACAGTCATAAAGTTTTTTTCTTAGTAACATATCAAGTTTCAAATTAAGTCTACTTATATGTGTTTTATAAAATATCACAATACTGAACACAGAAAAATCTACTCAATAATTATGGGTTTACTGTGATGTTAAAACCAATGATTAATATGTTTGAAATGGTAATAGCTAATTACATTAAAATAACTTTGAGCAGTCTTTAAAAATAGTTTCTAATATGGCTAATATGACAGCTTAACAAAAGGTAACTTATGTAACTAATATATATGCTCCAGGTACTATATTTAGGATGTCAAATATTTATTATCACAACCATAAGGGACTATTATACTCCTACATTACATGTGAGGGAATAGGCTTACTTAGAAAGGTAAAGGACGTGCTTTGTCACACAAGTAATAAGATAGGATCTAGAATTCATACTCAGATGGGGCAAAACCAGGATCTGAACTTTGTGTGTGCATGTGTGTTGTACTGGGGATTGAACCCAGGGCCTTTGCACTGAGCTACTTCCTCATCCTTTTTTATTCTGAGATGGTGTTTTGCTAATTTGCCCTGGGTTGGGCTTGAACTTGCAATCCTTCTCTTTCAGCCTCCCAGAGTGCTGAGATTATAGGTTTGTGCCACCACCCTGGCTGAGACTGAACTCTTGACTATGACAAATTGCTCAGAAGTAGACTACAAAATAACTGAATTGTTATGCTGAATTGTGTGGAAGCTTATTGGACAATTCCTCAAAATATGTCCAATAAGTCAGCTTATTCTAGAATGTCAAAATGTGGTTAATAGTAAAAAAAATTACGTTACCTACCTAAGTGCTAGATGATCTGGTAGAAGGAACACAGGAATTTCTTTACCACTTCCCTTTAAGCTTCAGTCTCCTCTTCTTTAAAACATCAAATCAATGATATTCATTACTAATCACAGTAGCTATACTTTACTGAATTCTGATTAGGTGCTAAGTACTTATGTGGAACATTTTGCACATACTAATTTGTGTGAATCTCAAAAAACTCTTTAAAGAAGCTATTTCACAGAAGAATTTTGAGCTCAACAAAGTTGAGTAAATTGCCCAAGCATACACAAAAACACACCCTAGGCAGTTTTCACCAACTGCCCTAACACCTGGGTGCCTGTTGAAGTTCATGCTCTATTATGCTATTCTGCTTTTTGTTCTAAAGGAGGTGCGTCATTAAGAATCTGGAAACTGGATTACCCTTGAATCACTAAACTTAAAAATCAACAAGTTATTTGTTTGAGATGTGGAAAGAGGTCCCCAGCAAACCTGTGTGAATTTATTAGCTCATTTAAAAAAAGACTATGTCAGGAAGTAGGTCGATCAGTATTAGAAACATCAAAAAGTGTAATAGTCAAAAAATTACATTACCCACCCATCTAAGTGCTTGGTGCTCTAGTCCTACAATATAAGAGGTCCAGAAATGTGGGCAGGTCTAAATAGTTCCACTGTGGAAATCTGGCTATCTCAGTCAGTGCTATAAGAATTGAGAATTGCTAAAGAATTGAGAATCATTTGTTCACCGAGTAATTATCTGATAAAAATTCAGCTTTCAGTGGAAGGGGGTATGAGGGAAGAGGATGGGGGTGAAGAAAACTAAGATGTATTATATACATGAAACAGCTCCCCACAAGGAATGTAATCATGATGTACTGCAAATATGTGCTAATAAAAAAATTTAAAACTGGAAAAAATAAATAAAATTTAGCTTCCCAGATAATATGCCTGTAAGAGAATCCATCTACCACTGGAAATATGTGGGATTCCTCTAGCAGTTGTATTTCTTATTGCCAATAAGTGGGTGTTTATGTACATACATCTTTATGAGTTCAGTTAATACAAGATCATCTTTGGAAAGCAGACCCACACTCAGAACACTGACTAATGAGGTTTCTAACCCTTCAAGGAATAGAGTCCCATGGAGAGTCAGTTCCTGACATTAGGATGACTTTATCAAGTAAATGAAAGCCACTTTGAATCTGCACATGACTCTACCAGAAACCAAAACAGATTGCTGCTGTTTCATGGGAAAAAAAGATTACATGTGAGCACTCTGAAAACTGTACAGTGATATTCAATGTTAATTTTGAATGTGCCAGTTTAATGAAAAACACTGAACAAAATCATAGGTTATCTGTAAAACTGCATGCTATTAGTTCTTATTCTTTCATCTCTTCCATGTGCTTCACTGTGAGTGTTTCTACATTTCTGGCAGCAGTCCTCAGCCTGTCTTCACTGTGCTAGAATAAAAGCATCAAACAAATAACAGGGTTTTCTTCTGTAGCAGAAAGGAGGCTGATCCCTTCTTTCTCAAGATGGTGAAGGATGTCTTTTAATTACACTTTTTCCCTTGATGGAAGAGATAAGCACATACATATGTATAAATGTACACACACACTACTGAGGATGCAAGAAATCTAATATATACACTTGTATGCCTGGAGTTAAGCTCTCTGCAAAGCATATTTTAGTTTTTCTATTAATTGATATGTTACCCAGTTATAATAAGCACTTAAATAGCTGACAATACCAAAAAATGTAAAGCTTTGAACAGCTATATAATTTCTTCTAGAGTAAAAATGATGACATGACACATACAATGCAAATTACAGATGATGGAGTTTCCTTTTAATACATGCTTTTTTGTTGGTCCAGTTTTGAAGTTTGTGATTTAATAATTCAAAAATCTCCCAAAGGGCTCTGGCAATATCATAAAGTCTGAAGAAGACTTTGTTCTTCCTATTGAAAAGTTAGAGAAAAAAAAAAAAAAAAAGGAATCCCATGGAGGCTGGACAGAACTCTTAATTCTGTATTACCAAGGATTTAAAAGATTTTGTCTTACAATTTATGTTGACTTCTATATCATTCAGCTCTAAGACTTCTTTTTGGCAGTGTGGGCAGATGCTGGCGGTTGAACCTAGGGTCTCATACATGCTGTATGTGTGCTCTACCACTGAGTCTCACCTCTAGCCCCTAACACTTCTTGATCTAAGACTGCCATCAGTATTGTCTTTATTTCTTTTTAAGGATGAAAATAATAGCTTGCACTATGACAGTGAGTTAAAGATAAATATCTGCAAACTGATGAAGCAGTATCTATAGTACTAGAACCACTAACTATGAATAGGAGTTGCTATTATAATCAAATACAACTTGAAGTTAATCTCATTCAAATTGTAGTGATGTGCATAATGATTGTTATGCTGTAAACAGTCTACATAATTATATACAGTTTTCATTTTTAAAGGAAAAATCATATTTTATTTTTCTTTGATTTGCTAAGTTTTTCAGACTTAGCATTTTTCACATTAACAGTTTTTTGTGAGCAATATTTAGAATTATAATTATCATCTGATACTCATACTGAAAGAAAAAGGACATAAGTGTGAATCTTTGCACCTCATATTTCTTCCCTATGACTTATAACTAAAAATCTTATGACTAAAACCCTTCATCCATCATTAGGTCCTTACTCATATATTCCTCCCACAAGGTCTCTGAGCACCACACAACTACTTATAATTTTAGTCCTTATATCAGAGAGCCCAAGACACAAGGAATATATAGCATCCTATGATATGGAAAAATGGTTATACAACAGAATGCAAACGTATTACTATGTGAAATCCAGACACATAAAGACTGGAAGAAAATACATCAGTGTTGAAAGCATTTGTGATAAACTGATGAGATAATGAGTGATTAGAAAGTGAATTTTATGAGTTCCTTGCTCCCACAGAACATCTTCCTGTTGTCAGGGTAGAGGGGGACAGTCTTAGGTTGAAGGAAGTTGAAGAGGAGATGGAGGATACTCAGATGCTTGGGGGAGACAAAGTAGTGCAGGGTAAACAGGGCTGTTGAAAGAGGGGCTTGCTGGTTGGGTCAACATCTAGTGCACATCTCATCTGAGCTCTTCCATTTCACCATGCTCCCCCAGTCAGTGATCTTTAGTCTCCATTCCGTTTAGCCACTCATCCCCACAGCTACCTCCAAGTCCTATCATAATCCTAACTCGTGGTAAAAGCCTGGAATTCTAAACTTCAAATGTCCCATTCTGACCACTATCTTCCATGCTTCCTGCCCTGCTCTTTAAATTGTGATAAAATACACATAACCTAAAGCTACTATTTCAACCATTTTTAGGTGTACAATTCAATGACATTAAATGGATTCACAATTGTCCACCATCACCACTATCCATTTTTAGAACCTTTTATTATCCCAGTCACTCCAAACCCATAAACAATAACTTCCCTTTCTCTCCTTCCCTGACATGTAGTAATCATCGTTCTTTCTGTCTCTTTGACTTTTGACTGCTCAAAGTACTTTCCATAAGTGGAATCATATATTATTTATCTTGTATTGGATTATTTTCACTTGGTATAATGTCTTATTTTCCTTGCTAAATGTTCATGCATGTTGTGGTATATGTCAGGATTTCCTTCCTTTTTAATGCTAAAATTCCACTGTATATAAATAGCACATTTTGTTTATCCATTTATCTGTTGAGGGTTATTAGATTGTCTCTACTTTTTGACTATTGTTAATGATGCTTCTATGAGCATCAGCGTATAAGTATCTGTTTGAGTCCCTGCTTTAATTATTCAGGGGTATATACTTAGGAAAAGAATTGTTAGGTATGTAATTGTATGATTAACTTTTTATTTATTTTATTTTATTTTTATTTATTTATTTATTTTTATGATTAACTTTTTAAAGAACCATCAATAATCTTCTACTGGAGCTGCACCATTTGATTTTCCCACCAGCAATAATGAAGGATCCTGATTTCTCCATATACTTATTAACACATTTCTTTAAGTGTGTGTATGTGTGTGTGTGACATTTCAGTCAGAACTTAGTCATATGCCAACATCTGACAGTAAGGGATGCAGCCTTGTGATCAGTCACAAAACTAAATATCATATTTCTGTGGAAGAGAAGAATAAACATTAAAGGACCTCATATCCATCATATATAATATGCATCCTAATGAATGTAAAGTGGTTGCTGTCATAAACTTTACTTATCCTACAATGACAGTGAGACCTCCAGTGCCTGGTATATTACACCTGCTTTTTCTGGTTTGTTTCCCCACAATCTCATTATTTGTCAGTCAGGATGGTAGCATTTGTAACTTGAGTTCCTGCTGTCAGGCTGGCCCCATCCAATATGCTCTCTGAATGCACATCATCTGCTGCTTGCTCTCTGGAAGAGTTCAAGTCCCTAAATTTGACACCAGGAATTCTCCACAATCTGGCTCCTGCCTCTGTCTCCAGCCTCCTTTCTGCTACTCCTTGGCATTAGTCTTTTATGCCAGATACTTATTGATCCCACCATGCTTCTTGCAGTTCCTTGCCTTTGGAGATTCAGATACCTCTCCCTAAAATGGTGTTATCACATCCTAGAACAACATTTTTTCCAGTGGATTACTGAGACCTGATGGCTGAGAATTTTGAAAATTCTAGTAAGGCAGATCTTGAGATAATATTGTTAGTTTACCCCTCCCCTCGCAGCTTAATTTCTAAGTTTAAAGCCAGCTACCTTCCTCATTCCATTCCCTGGCCCGAGCCCCATCTTCTACCCCAGGCTTTTTCACTCTAACCTTTTTTTTACCTTTTATACAAATGTAACTTAAAAATTACAGGGCCGGGGATTTAGCTCAGTAGTTTCGCCACCTGCTGCACAAGCGCAAGGACCCGAGTTCGATCCTCGGTACAAAAAAAAAAAATTATAGCCATCTAGTCAGACAGGGTGGCGTAGGTTTGTAATCCCAGGTACTTGGGAGGCTGAGGCAGGAGAATCACAAGTTTGAAGTCAGTCTGGGCAACTTAGGAGACCTTATCTCAAATTAAAAAATATACAGGCCTGGGGATGTAGCTCAGTTGTAGAGCATCCTTGGGTTCAATCCCCAGTACTGTGCAAAAACAACCAGACATGTGAAATACAGCATTATGCAGTTGTTTTCCTTTTCAATTCCCAAAAGAAAAATACACTTTAAAAAAAAATGTTGAAAAGAATGCAGCAATGTGGGAAGTTTAAAAATATAAAGTTAAAAAGAAAGCCAAGATGTACATTATAACTATGTAAAAATGTACACCTGAGGAAGGACTGTACACAAAAGAGAAAAATTGTTGTTATGTTAGGACAGTTTCTCAACCTTGTCAGTATGACACTTTGGCCTGGACAATTCTTTGTTTTATGGGATGTTCTGTGCAAACAGTAGGATGTTCAGCAGCAGCCCTGTACTTCACCAACTACATCGAAAAGGCACATCCCAGAATGACAACTTAAAAAGGTTTCCATACATCACCAAGTGTCTCTTAGAGGGAAAGTCCCTCTCCACACCAGGTTTGGAACTGTGTTACTGTAAGAAAAAACCCTTTAATTTGTATTAACTTTGTCATATTGGAAGACAAGAGCCCCTTATAAAACAGCATCCAATAGCCTACTTTTTAGTATATGTGCTGCCGAAGCGAGTACAAATAGCCTACTTTTTAAAGAGTTAAAATTTACTCAGGTCTATTTAATGTGAAAAGTTGAAAAAAGCCGAATAGCTCTTTTTATTTTCTAACATAGTATAAAAGAGAAAGTTGAATTTTCAGTAGTTGGAAACCTGAGCTGAGAATGAAATATCACAAATACCACTTCAATTGGCCTGAGAAATAAAAATGTCTAAATCATTATAGTTCTCGATACCTTTCTCAAATGTGTACTTTATATATTCTCAAAATAGTTTTATATTTAAACCTAAACAGTGAGGAAGAAATGAGTCAACAAGGAACACAAACTGTAAGACAAATTAAATCAAGCTTCCCAAGCTAAAATAAAATTTCATGGGTCCAAAATTAATCTTACAATTAATGAATTAATCTTAGAGCCCATCTATAAGTCATTAGATTACTGAGCCTGCTCATTTGCCAAAAAATACGTATTTTCAATCATTTCTTGTTTGTTCACATCAAACGCAATGTTTTCTGATTCGGGAACTGACATAAAGAAGAGCCACAATAAGTGTTTCAAGTATCTTTTCTTGAGCAATTCTATCATACGGTCTTTTTGGTTTTGTTTTTTTTTTTTTTTTCCGGTACTGGGGATCAAACTTGGGACCTTCCACTTGCGAGGCAGGCGGCGGAACCACTGAGCTAAATCACCAGCCCTCTATCCTACGGTCTTAAAGCTGAAATTCTCTATTATATAATAATTTCTGAATTATTTTTTCACAAGTTATAAACACATCACTAATATTTATGCCTACTTTAATATTTACCAAATTATAAACTAGGAACAACTTTCTTTATATATATAAAGCCTGAAATGGGCTTATACAACCGCTGATTTTCCTCCCTTTTCAAAACACACTAGGTTTTCATCAATTTAATGTTTGTATTTGCCAATGTGTACGTTCGTCACCATTCTAGTTTACCCCACAGAAAGTATGCCATGGCGCAGAGAAACACAGAAAAATTTCCCAGTGATTGTATAGCTGGAGAATGTGCAATAATTAGCCATGCAAAGCATCAGAGCAGGAAAACGGAAAAGAGGTGGTCTGTAAATGACAGAAGTGGTAGCGATGAATGGAAACGCAATAATGTGCAGTGTGAACAGGAAAGGGTGAAAATGGCTGTGGGATGAACAGATCGAAGAACTGGTGCTCAGAGTGATGAGAGAAGTGGATGAAGTTGTAGCTTGAAAGGCAGAAGGTAACTGACTTGATGACCTCTGACGCTGAGGTTACCAAGGACCTCCAAAGCTTCGTCCGGATTCAAGGTTCTGCGCGACGAACATCGGCCAAAAAAGCAGGAAACGGCAGTTCTTTGCTCACCGGCCTGCAAGTAAAAGTAAGCTGTGACAGCCTCCGTGGACTTTGTAGCGGCCTGGGCCTTGGGGAGCCGTCATCAGTTAGGGTGCGCGCCTCCTCACCCGTGAAGGGAGAAAAACAACGCCTACCTAACTCACCGAGCGTGTTCTAAGCCGCTCTCTAAATAAAAGCGGCACCTCATACTAAATGCCTTTGGCAGCTGAGTCCAGGAAAACAGGAAAACCCTTGCAGCAGAATCCCTCCAACCTGGGGCTAGAAATGTCCAGGCAGAAAGGCACTCCTCCTGTAGTTTCGGGTCATTCTTGGAAGAGAAGCGGAAAAGACGTGAAATGTGGAAAGGGGGAAGAATGAACGTTTTCCTTCTCGGGACTGAGTCGGAACTTCAGGAAGAAGACCAAAAATTTTCTCTTGTGTGCTGCAAAGGGTCCCGGCGTTGCTAAATTCCTGGCCCAAGAGACTACAGGGCCAGGTTCCTAAGGAGCCAGGGCGTCATAGCAACCGCGCTAGCCACACGTACGCAAAGGCGTCCTTCCGGTGGGAACCACAGATACGACGCACGGCATTGGTGCCATGGATTGCTTTTCCTGCCAGGACCGTTGTTACAGCGCACACCATTGGCCTTTGGGCCGTGGGGTGGAACTCTTTCAACTGCATCGTTAGTATACCTCATTCCATTGGCTCGGATACTGCAGTAACCAGAATACCAGTAGCTAGTATTTGCAACTGACATGCTTCGCCTTGTGATGGGACCTTCTAGTTCTCGAACGTGTTCCCGCCAAGTCATCCTTCAAAGGGTAGGGTACTAGGTCTGGAGTTCAGAATTTTACGCCTAGAATTGCCATTAATCACCTGGGATGCCTAAGGAATCACACTTTTGGATTTAATTGTAAAAATGAAGAAACTGGACTGGCCACAATTAACACAAAGGCTGAAGCCCTTAAGCACTAGAAATTTGGCTTAGGTGAGTCGTATCTCTTAATATGTAATGCAAAATAAAACTTTAAATCACAAAATTTAACAAAACTTCAGCATCATTTTAAATGCCACCCCCTACTCCCAGGCCAAGATTACACGTATTTGTCAGAACTTACTTTTACTTAGTTTTTATGGGCCTTTGCTTTGCTAGTATACCAAACATCATGTACACTTCTCGGTCATATTCTAGTTACAAATCTTTCCAAACCTTTGGTGGTTCTATGTGTTTTGTTTTGGTACTGGGGATTGAACTCCGGACCTTGCGCTTGCGAGGTAGGTGGCAGAACCACTGAGCTAAATCCCTGGCCCTGGTAGTTCTATACGCATTATGTATCTGGTTGGATCTTACCCTTATTTTATATAAGTGCTTCACCTTCTCCCTCTGGCAACAAAGCCCCTATATTTTTTCTCTGATCTAAATGTTCACCACCTGCAACCCCACTTAACTCATTTCAGCATCACCTCAAGGAAAGTTTTCTTGGTTCTCCAATTTGGATCAAGTTTCTTATTTTCTTTCATTGACTTATGCTCCTTTTTCTTTAAACATTTCAATTTGCTGTAGGCACACACACACTCCTGGAAATTTTGCTTGTGTAAACACTTTAAGTATTCTGCATAGATAATAAACTGAAGGAGGAAACACTTCAACTCCATGTGGTGATTTTTGAGCATTAACAAAACGGGTTTCCAACAAGATGTAATAATCATAAAGATCACTGCTAGCTTTAACTTTATCTCCACTGTACATTCAACAAAGAATCATCATCCTCGTGAGGCTATGAATGTAGGGACGAAAATCAGGCTTTTACTTCATGCCCCATCAACACTGCAGCTACTGCTTTTGAGGTTTTGTCAATTGGACCTGAAGTTCATTTAAAATTCATATTCAAATAACTGCTGCTTCCAGAACAGTCTTGGCTGCTGCAGTTATTTTTCCTCTGCTCAATGTCATACTTTGTGCTTTAATGAAGTATTTATCTTAATATTTCTGTTCAAATTTTCTCAACTAAAATTTATTGTATCTCTGTTGTCTATAGGACACACTGAATTACTCTTCCCAATGCCATGAAATATCATGAATTGTATGAGGCTGGGGGGAAGCCCAGGGGCACTGTACCACTGAGCTACATCCCAGGCTGGCCTCGAACATGATCCTCCTGCCTCAGCCTGAGTAGCTGGGAATACTGGCCAGTGCCATCATGCCTGGCATGAATTGTATTTTATTATTATTTAGCTGTGCTGGGGATCAAACCCAGAGCCTTGTGCATACTAGGCAAGCTACATCCTTCCCCCCTAAATCAAGTATTAATGTAGATAATAATGGTAGCTTTTCAAATTGTATTCTGAACCACACTACAGATCATTCAGGGGATACTGCATTATACTTATGTACTCCCAAACTTAGGAGTGAACAGAGCTTTGAGTTTTCAAGGATTCAAGAATGAAGCAGGGCCAGAGATTTAGCTCAGTGGTTCCGCCGCCTGTGTTGCAAGCAGAAGGAGCTGAGTTCGACCCTTGGTACCAAAAAAAAAAAAAAAAGAATCAAGCAGGGCTCCAGCATGACACTGGCAAATGTTGCTAAGTAAGAAAAAACAATAATCTCAACCATTTTCCTTTGTTGTTTTTACTTAATCCTCACAGCCAACGTGGTATCACTTTGCAGGGAGTATTATCCGCATGTCATACATGAAGAAAAAGATTAAGATATGTGCCTAAGTGGCATGGCTGGCTAAGTTTTCTCCACACCCCATACTCTTTACCACAGGACAGAGCTCACCAATTGGTCCCTGCCTGGTACCAGGAGGAAGATCATGTTAAACTCAAGAACAGTTCTACAATATTTGAGAGGTAAATCATTACTCAAATATAGAGCAAATCTAGGGCAAGAAGCAAAAGGTAAATGTAGTGGAAAGCTCTCCAATGTAGAGGCAATCTTCTATGTTTAGGGAGGTGCTTTTCTCTCCATTTTTAGTAAATTTTCAAAAAACCTCCTTTCCATTTGTCAGTTTGTGGGCATACACTTTATTACGCTTAAACTTTTACACATCCATTTCCCAAACAAGACATATTTATTCATCTTTTTAATCTTCATCACTTAGCTCAGGGCCTGAAACATAGTAGGCACTCACCAAATACTTCGTTTTCAAAGCATGACCACACATGCATCCATAATCCTTTTTCTATAGTATAAAGTAGGCTAATATTCAGCATTTAGTCCCTGTTATAGTCTGTGGAATATATAATTCTCAACAGACTTGTTTTAAAGATGAGATATAGTTCTAGTGTTTCATTTCCAAATCCAGGTAACATTCAGGTGATTTTATTGGGTGGTTCAGTCATTAAAAAACAAATACCAATCCATATTTGCCTGCACCCAAATTTTACCTTCCCTTTGTCCTTATGAAAGCAAAGAATTTATTTTAGTCCTTGCCATCTGTAAAAGACCTGGTCCAGTGAACAATTTTTAATCTTCTTAGTTCAGTTTTTGTCACATATAAAAGCTGTGTGTCGAGACTGAACATTATCCACTATCTTCTCTTCTATCACCATGCCTTTTTCTACTTCTTCCTCTGATAGCAATAACTTGGTTTCTGAGTCTTTGGTTACAATAACTACAAAAGACTGTATTGACTCAAGGATATTAGCCACCACCACTTGATGCTGATAAATTTCCAAAGCGTTCCGAGCACGACTAATTACAATGGAGGGGTCAGTCTCCAACTTAAAGGAAATTATAAATGCTTTGGGAGCCCAATCTTTAACTAAAGGAGAAAGCATTTTCGGCACCATCTTCATAGTTATCTGTATTGGAAAAAGAAAAGCTTAATTAGGAAATAGTGGTCACTACCTATCAGGAAATGAATGAAGGACTCAAGATTTTTGCCTATATAAATGTAAGGGGATTTCTCACTACCAAATTTCAAAGCATACTAAATACACTACTTTTAAAGCCTTGCTTCTGTGACGTTCATAACAATGCCTAAATTCAAGGCTTCATATATATATATATATATTTTCTGGCAAACCCTCTTTTCTGGAATCATCCCTGCTCTGTACCTTCTCTTCAACATTTCCCTTTATTTTTTTTAAAGCAAATCCTCAAATAAACACAAATAATCTGTTCATGCAAATTTTACTTTGGCAGAAACCCAGTAAGATTGGGTTTTTAAATCTTTCAGTCTAAAATATGTCTTACATGGGCAGAATAGCTATTGGATTCCATTTACAATTCAATTTACCTACAACTGGAATTGTAGAGGAAGAAATTATACAACTTAGTACTGAGCAAGCAACTGAATTTATTTTCACTTTATCTAAACTCCTACTATCTATTTCTTAATATTTTCAAAGGGGAATTTTATTGTGTACTTTCAAGATACTGTAGAACTTAAAAAATGTGGGATAAACTAAGGATCTTAGAATTTTTAAAAGTGTGAAATCACTAATCATGAGGCTCTCCTCTAAAAGAGCTGTATAAAGGGGATCATAGACCAATTTCCCACTTTTTCTCCTTAGCCCGTATCACTACCAAATATAGTATGCATTTGACTTCCCTTGCTAGGTGTATTTTCACTGTTTTCTCTCCAGGTCGTACAACAGTACGTGGCATATAGTAGGTACACAGTAAATATTTACTGAAAGAACAACAAATGAGCTAACCCTATAAGTGCCCCACAGGCAAAATTTCTCCTATATAAACTCTACTTCTATCACCCAATAACCGACTAAGAACTTCCTCAGGATCCAAGACACCAGGTAATCTCAACCATAGCACTCCTTTCCCTATACCTCTTCATCTATAATAGCCCTCAACTAGTGTACCATCTCCACTGTCTTCCTATTTTACCTTTCAGAATGATACAGAATGTTCTTTTCAAATACTTTATCTCATTTTTCTATTTAATGTACCCCTGGCATGCACAAGATAAAGTCCAAGCTCTTTAAGAGTAAGTTTTCTATGAAGCAAGCCGTTTCTTAATTTTGGTTTCCAGCCTCATCAAAGCACTTCAGTTCCAAACGCCAACTGTGTAATTCCACCCCATTTTTGTTATATCCTGCGCTCATCTTTTAAAACCTAGTTCAAGTCATCTCCACCAGGAAGACTTCCTCCACTCTCCCAGTTCACTCCCCCATGATCTGTCTGCACTTTGTACATACCTCCACTAGAGCATTTATCATTTTGTATTGTAATTATGTCTGTGTCCAGCTCCCTCGCTAGATTGTGAGGTCCTTGAGAGAGGGCGGTGTCTTTATTCATCTCTGTATCCCCAGTGCCTATTGCATACAGAATGCAGAAAGGCCATCTGCAGATCAAGAGTAGATTAACCCAAGATTGGTTATAGGGGATCAGATCTCTGGAAGAGAAGCGCCCATCACCTGCAGTGGGCCCCCAGATGACTGGATCTTGTGTTCAGGCATTTCAGAAACAGGAACATAGAAATCTGACACGGCTGCAGCCAGGTAAAACATCGCAGAAGGGCCTGCAAAGAGAAGCAGATTGTGTAACAAAGCGGGGAGGGCATGGGATCCTTTTCAACTCCACATCCTTGCTGTGTGTCTGCTGGCTAAGCACAAGGTACATACAGTGTACGGGGAAAGTGGCTGGGGAGAAAGTCTCTGCCTGTAGGCCACGGATGGATTCCTAAGGCACGCACCTAGAGGGTTGAGTGCTTGAGCCGCAGCCTGAAGCAGATGCAAATAGTCCGCCAAAGTGGTGAACTCTACGGCCAAGAAGGTGCCGGCAGCCTCTGCCTCCTGATAGCTCCGCAAAGCCTCAGCAAAGCCGGGAAGTGCTTTCTCCTCGGCCTCTAGGCTCAGCATGCCTGACTGGACTGGGCCAGAAGGTCGCAGGGCCGACAGCCAGGTCTGAGGCGGGAAGCGATGGGCATAGGGGAAGGCTGAGCGAGCACGGTACAAGAACAGAACACCATAACCCGCAGCCAGAAAGGCCTCCGCCGAGGTTGCACCGCGCCTCCCGCTGCTGAAATTGTCCAGAAAGCGCACCGGCCGCGCTTCCAGAGGAACCTTGGTGCCACCTGACGTGATCAACACTACCCTCCGTCCCTGCGCGCCCTGCCGGGTGGCAAAGCCAGCCATAACCTCCGCCCAGCGCGCAACACCCGCAGGCCGTGCGAACTCGGAGACCAGGTCCACTTCCGCCATCAGTGCCGCAGCGCCCCAGTGTCTGCGCACGCCCGGGGCCGCCGGCGCCACGCCTCTCCCGTAGCTGGTGAGTGCGCAGCTCCATTAGTGGGTGGGCCATTTGCTACCGTACTTGGGCCTCTAGGTTCCCCATCTCTCCAAGTGCGGAAACGTGTGGTATTCTGCTCCAGAGTCAAGGGACAGTGAGAAAGTACCTCATTCCTGGTCGGGTGGACATTTGGGAGAGTCACATTAACTCCTGTTAATGTCCTAGCCTGGGTAAAGAACTGGCTACTTTGGCCCTTCTCGGTTACCGTACAGACTTCCTGGCCTTAGATTCCATTGGGGTTATGACTGGTTTAACCTTTGGTTCCGTGGGATTTGCCTTTTCTTCTCTCTTCTCTTTTCCTTTTTTTTTTGTTTTTGTTTTTGTTTTTGTTGTTGTTGTTTTCTGGCTTCAGAAATAGACTCCCGGTGGCAGTCCTTCAACACCCTTCTTCCTTGCCCTTGAAACCCTTGGAAAGCCGCCGTCCCGCGGTGTCACGTGACACTCCTGCCCGCTTACCCTTGCCCAGCAACAGTCCTAGAAACGGACACCGCTGGCTGCAACATGAATGTCATCTACCCGCTGGCGGTTCCCAGGGGGCGCCGGCTCTGCTGTGAGGTGTGCGAAGCTCCGGCTGAGCGTGTGTGCGCGGCTTGTACAGTCACTTATTACTGGTAGGCCCTGGAACGTGGCACCTGGCGCTTCAACCCCCCTCTCTCGCAGTGCCAGGTCTAGGTTTGTGTGCTTAAGCCCTAGGGCCCGGTTCTGCCAGGGACCCATTCACGGTGTCTTCAGAACGGGTCTCCAAGACTGCTACTGTTACAGTGAAGTAACTCCTAACCTATCAGAGTTCGTGTCTCATGATGCTGAAGAATGGAGTCGAGGACAAAGGAGGTGAAGAGTAGGAAATTTTTATTAAGAGAAACTTCCTGAAAGGCAGGAAGGGTCGCGAAAGTGGGTTGCTACTGAGGCTCTTTGTCTAGGAGGTTTATATGTAGTAAAATCATATCACAGGTTGCGTTGAATCAAACTGTAATCAACCTATAGGCTTACAAGTACAACCACTTAGATAATACTGATCTAATAGCAAAACAAGATACCATAGCAAAGAGAAGAACAAAGACATTTCTGGAAGGGGTAGCGATGAGGGTCAGAATATTCTGGTCAGCTGTCTATGTGTTTGTTACCTTATTTCTGTGTTTGTTGTTTAGTTTAGGCTTATTGGACCAGATGGTGCTAGTTACAGTACAGTTTTGGACTGTTGTTTATCTCTGGGGAGGCTTGCAGCCCTAGCCATAGTGTATTCATTTTGGGGCCTAGTTTCTATCAACTCAGCCCCACCGACCACAGGCTTGTTTTGCCTCATCTCTGCGCTGACTCTGTCCTGGGCCCAGTCCCTTCTATCAGTCACTGCCTGACTTAGCTATCAGCAATACTATGGCCTGTCTGCTTCCTCTCTCGCTTGTTGATTCATCAGATTTTTTTTGAAGTCCTACTATGTGTTGTACACTGTTCTAGGTGCTGAAGTTAGTAGGGCAAATGGGTAGATTTGTTCCTTCTAAAATCTAACATTCTAACTCGGGAGACAGTAAACTAACAGGAAAAGAGTAAGTGTAATTTCAAGAGTCAGGCATGGTGGCACACCTGTGATCCCAGCCCTGGGGAGGCTGCCTGGGCTGCATAGTGAGTTCAAGTCCAGCCTGAACTACATACCAAGACCCTGTCCAAAAAAACAAGCAGCAATGTCAGAGGAGTGTTGTAAGACAAGTAAAGGAAATGTAATGCGTTTTTTTGAGAATAAACTATTGATCTGAAGATACAGTAACAACATCTTGCCATGGAAACAGCTGTGAGAAGAGTGGGATAGGTAGGCTTTGAGGTGAAAAAGGCAAGTTGGTCAGTTGCTCGGTAGACAGCTAAGATGGTGAGGTTGGAGGGAGGGTAGTGCAAGATGAAGTCAGTTTTCATGTATCTGGCATTACATCCTCTTGCTTTTGCTTCAGGTTAGGCTCTATTTTGGACTTGATGTAGAACAGCTAAATTACTGACATTAGGAAACGTAGCTCAAAGCAGGCTGATTTGTTTATTTATTTATTTATTTATTTGGTACTGGGGATCGAACTTGGGTCCTTGTGCTTGCGAGGCAAGTGGTGGTGGAACCACTGAGCTAAATCCCCGGCCCCAAATTTGGTTTATTTATTTATTTATTTATTTGGCACCAGGGATTGAACTCCGGTCCTTGCGCTTGCACAGCAGGTGGTGAAACCACTCAGCTAAATCCCCGGCTCTGATTTGTTTTTTTAAAAAAGTCATGATGTATTCAACATGATAAATGCTATCACCCAGGTTATAATGAACCCTGTGATCCCTGAGATTGGATGCGTGACTAGGGAAGTGTCTAGAAAGGTTTTTCCGGGGAAGTAACATTTGAGCTCAGTCTTGAGAGATCAGTAGAAACTTGCTATGTGAAGGACAAATGAAGGGTAAGGCATTCCTGGCATTTGGGACAATGTGGTCAAAGTGAAAAAACAGTTTGCTAAGAGGTAAGTGAGAAAGAGAGTAGTGGAGGGAGCAGTCAGTGGTTTTCAAACAGCAGCTCAGGGGCTGGGGATTTAGCTCAGTGGTTCCAGCACCTGCCTCAAAAGAGCAAGGTCCTGAGTTCGATCCCGGTACCAAAAAAACCACAAAAAACAGTAGGTCAGGACCTAGCAGGACATGAAAAAATTAGAATCAACATCTTTTTTCTTTTTTTGAGATAGTTTTAGGTACCCTAAACTGACTCAAACCTACTATGTAGCTAGGCATGAAGACACATGCCTGTAATCCCAGCATTTAAGAGGCTGAGGCAGGAGGATTGCTGTGAGTTTGAGACCAGCCTGGTCTACATAGTGAGTTCAGAGCCAGTCTTAACTGCATAGTGAGAGCTTGTATCAAGAACAAAACAAAACAAAAAAACAACAACCTACTATGTAGTACTGTGTACCCCAGGCTGGCCTCAAATTCATGATCCTCCAGCCTCAGTCTCCCAAGTGCTGGGATTGCAAGTGTGTGTCCCCATGCCTAGTTACAACCTGCATTTATAGAAAAGAAAAATAGCATGGAATAGAAAATATCAGAGAAATTCTACTTGAATTGTTTCTTTTCTTTTATGCATAAAATGTATTTCTTTCTATGAGTTGAGTAAATTGAAATCTTTGTGGTAGTGGGAGTTTAAAGAAAGAAGCTAAAAGTTAGGGCCAGTGATACAAGATCATGGAGTTTGGAATTCAGCCTTTTACGAGCTGTAGATTGTTTTGAACTGACATGCTGTCATTTGTGTTATGGAAGGTAATAGGTAGCAGTGTGGAAGGTAGACACTGAGGGCTACATAACTGATTTAGAGGCTGTTGCAGTGGTCTAAGTAGAGGGTGTGAACATGTCTTTCTCAGACCAGTCCAGATATCCCTTGGCAGAGTTCTCAAAGCATTTGATACTCCCTTTCTCTTATCACTTAGGACATAGACTGAAGTCAGTTCTTGAACTGTCAGTATCCTTCACCATGCTGCCCAACAACAAGGCATCTATGTTTTCATTGCTGTTTCCTCTTAGGTAGCTTCACCACATTTAAAACATAATAGAGAATTTGCAACAAGTGCAAAGCTGTGATTACCTCTCTGTCCACATTTCTCACTACACTTGCTCCATCTTTTCCTTGCTATGGTTACAGAAAGCTGAACTTCTAATTTGCTCCACTTTCTTCACCCCGACTTCTCTGCCGAGAACCTCCCTTCCTATCATTAACTTTCCTGGCTGCTTTTCATTTTTCAGTTCAAAGAGGTCTAAACCTGATCTAAATACCCTTCTTGTATTTTTCTAACAAGTACTGTTTTTTCTTTCTTCTAATTTTTTTGTTTGCTTGTCCAATGACTGTGTCTTTTACTAGACCTGTGTCCCCACATACCAGACACCCAGTGAACATTTGTTGAATAAATAAGCTTCTGAATAGATAATACATCTCTTAACTTAGACAAGAAATACAAGAGCAGGAGATGATGAATGACAGATTCAGTTGCAGACACATAGTTTGAGGAGCCTTCATGTTACCTTTGTGCTAATAGGCTGCGTGGCACTCAGGGAGAGATTTGACCCCTTTGCTGAGTGTGAGCACCCACTTCCTCCTTAAAACACCCCTATCCTCTTCATCCCTCAGCCAGAAGTAATTCCTCCTTCCTTCCTCTCAACTCACTGTACAGTCATTCTGTACCTCCCAGACACCTCTTCCTGCCTTTCTTCATTTCCATTGTTGCAAGCCTGTTATCTCAATCCGCTATGTTCCATTATGCAAGATATTATTTTGAATGTTTATAGGACTTTCATGTGTAAGCTGTCTTTTGATTTGTGTCACACCTACCTGTGTATGCTCATAGTCTCCAGCAAAGACTCTTGAAATAATTGGCACTAGTATTAGATAATATGAATAAATTTTCATCTCCTATACACTTAACCTCCACTGCTCCACCCCCAGGTGTTAAGGATGGAACCCAGGGCCTCATGCATGCTAGGCAAGCAGTCTACCACTGATACTATTCCAAGTCCCTTTCACTTGCTTTTAATTTGCTTTAAGGTCGTTGTCTCTTCTTTTTATCCTCCTTTTCCTATACTCTTGTGTCCCAGAGATTTTATGATTTTTTTTGATAATTAAGATTTGAGATTTAATAGCCTGACATTTTTGTAAATTTCCTTCTATTCTTTTCAGTGAGATCTGTGGTAAATTGTAGAATGAATGCCCTACCTAAAGACATTACAATTCAGTTTTAAAAGCATTATAATGCCCAAACAAAACATGTTTTGCTCACAAGCTAGTTAATTGTGAGTTATGATTGAAAGCATACTCATCAACTTCTGTATGCTTACCGTAGTCTTGGATATTAGGGTGAGACAGATGAATAATGACAGCCACAAATATATAAACAAACCTCACTTTATTTGAAAGGCAAGATATGTCAGTTGTTCTCAGTGGAACAAAGGTTCAGGCAGTTAAATAAGTTACCATTTCCATTGCTCACACAGTTCCTCAACAAATCTCTACTTAATAAATATCTGGTGAAACTTTGCTGATCTGTTTACAATAATTCTCTACCCACACAAAAAAACCCTTTTTAAATGATTTCTGTCATTTTGATGGTAGCAGTCAGTTTATGAAAAAATACTTGATTATATATCAGGTGGAATGAAGGGGAGAGTGTGCTTGCACAAAGCCTTGTATTTTCTAGGGCTGTTACAGCAGTAGAGTTGAGTAGTTGCAACAGAGACCAGAGAGCTCTCAAAGTCTAAAATAGTACTCTTGGCCAGGTGTGGTGGTGCACGCCTGTAATCCTAGCACTTGGGAGGCTGAGGCAGGAGGATCACCATGAGTTCAAGGCCTGCCTGGGCCACATAGTGAGTTTAAGGCCAGCCTGAACTACATAGCGAGAACTTCTTAAAAAAAAAAAAAAGATAGATAAATATACTCTCTGACACTTCACAGAAAAACTTTGGTGATTCTTCTCCTAGATTATTGTGGTCTGTCTTGAAGTATGTTTAATGTATAATGGAATCAAACTTAATTATCTCACATGTAAATGAAAATGTGTAATAAGCAGTAGAAATGCAAAAATGCATGATTGTATGTATCTAACAACAGAGCTTCAAAATG